CACATATTTACCACCGTAGGCAGCACAGCAAGCTACTCAGTGCTAAACAGGTGTACCTTTCTCCTTTGCATATAGACCTGCTAAGTACCCTCTACAGAATTTCTTTTATTGCACTGTTTCAGCTATACAGGCTACAAACTTCACCTTTGAGTGGTTTTCTTTTGTTTTTAAAACTTCAAGTGACAAGTCTTAAAATGCCTTTTGCATTAGAAAGCATTGTGGATCTATAAAGCATAGGAACCAACAGCTTTGGAAGTGTGTATAGCCTCAAGAATACCTGCTAATTACTGCAGCACAGCCAACCAATTATTGAATGACTTACTTTTAGCTTACTGCAAGCATATGACAAAATATCCAGAATTATTAGCTCTTGAAATACTATGATTCCAATATCAAAGCCTGCAGATGTTACCATTTAATTTTACCAGATCCCCATATATACAGTTTGTTTTAAGAGACCAACCTACCTATTAACAGGGACAACCCAAATAAGCTTCCTAAGCTGTCAAAACTCAAGAGGAGCAATATAGTTATCTCCACTAAAAAAACTACACCTACGAAGAAGTCACCAAGTTGAATCCGATCTACTTGCTAAAACTCAGTCTTTAAACAGTAACTAAATGTTACTGCATGTACTTATTAGTCAGGAAGTGCATACATAGCTTCAAAAGCACCCTCAACAGCATTAATTTTTAAACAGATATGGAAGTGAGCTAAAGCAGAATTTAAGTAGCATCTTTAAAGCTCTCCTAATAAAATAAGTGAGTTCTCTTCACAAAAATCGCAGTATGAGTTTATGCAAGAGGGTAACAACTTCATCTGAACGACTATACATCAAAACCACAGTGTTACAGAGACAAAACAGCCGTTACAGTCCTAAGAAAGGAAGCCACTGAGCATTCATAGCATTGGACATGACGCTAACTGTGGTGTTAGCCACAACAGGAGGATGCTTTCAGCACGCTGACGGTTAAGGTATGACATAGGAGGAGAGCTGCATTCACTTTTAACAGCTCTGTGACTGTAGCTAGTTTAAAACTGAAGAAACAAACATTCACCCACATCCGTAAACACAGCGAGTGTTAACACAGGCCTTTTCTAACCCTGTTCTCAGCACCTCTGCTCCTCTACTGTAGTTTGAAAGGCAAAGAATACATCAGGATGTGTGTTCTCTTTACAAACACACCTCTAAACGTTCAATACGCAACTGCAATCTTATTTTGTAGTACTGGATTTTAAACTGCCTGCCTTACAGCAAACACCAAATAGCATCCCTATTGCACTCCCACACGGTCTACTCTAAACACATACACAACAGTGTACCAAACCACTCAACACTAGACGACACACATCTTGCAGCTATTATGAACTCTCAAAGCAGCACAAGCAGCTACAAGACACGGTGCTCTCCGCAGCTGTGCTCCAATTCTGCCTTAGTCCACCTTGGAGGAACACACTGGAGAATGTCTAAAAAGTTTGAGAGGAAATACACAAAGAGCAATTCAGAAATAATAAAAATAATAATAAATTATTATTTATTATAGTATAATAATAACAAAATAATAAAATAATAATAACAGAAATAATAAAAATAGGTTGATGCTCAAAGTGATCAAGACAATTCTCATCCAACAATCTAAGAGAGCCTTCAGTCATTTCTAATTACTGGTCTGTTTGCTAGCAGCAAACACCTGCATAGCTTTCACGCTAGTTATGCAAATGTCAAAATAGTGCATTTGCTCCACATCAAGAGACATTTGGGGGAGGAAAATAAGAGCATACACAACAGGAAACAAAATGAATGCTAAATCTGGAAGACAGGAAGAAAGAAGCTTCAAGGACAACAGGAAAAAAAAAGTCAGAAAAAGTCAAGACAAAACGATTATTCAGTACACCAGATTAGATTTTTAAAGGCATGTTTTCAAAACACTGCAGACTAACGTTAGCTGCAAATTTGCATGAGATCAAGAGCGAATCCGATTTTTTTTATATGTACATATACATACACTGCCATGAGTACATTTCCAGTGAATACCAGGTTCAGGTTATATTTGTTTGGTTTACAGGCTGCTGACAACCTTCCAGAAAGCTCCCCCCCCAGTTTGAGTATTTGAATTCATTAATTCTTACAAAAGAAAAAATTAATATTTTTCTTCAACTCCTAACACAGTGAGAAAATCTCTTAAGTTTATTCACCTTAAATTATTATATACATTTTAAATCTAAAGGTGCATTTATAGCAAAAATTCATTTAACTAAATTTCAGATGAAACAAATAGCACTTAAAGTGATCAGGTTCCAAAAGCTCACACAACCACAAAGTCTGACGCTGGAAACACAGCATCCTAGCTGAACCAAAAGTGCCATTCTTTGTGCAGGTATCTCTTGAACCGGTATACGAATCATATGCACTGATTACTCTAACCTCTTTCTTTTCTATGACAAATTAGATAATTGAGAAAGTTACCGTACTCATTACCAGCACCAGGAAAAGGGTGTCTGAAATTTCCCCTTTATGACAAAACAGTAACTGCTGCTTCCTGAGCTGAGTGAAAAGCAAAGGAAGATGTAATGAGACCAGCCAGCATGTGATTCTGCTTTTACGCTTATGTTTACAAGTCTCACCACAGTTGATTCCCTGGTAAGCTGTTTATTCATAAATGGTACAATTAGCAATTCCCCAAAGATGCCCATAACCTCTGTGAGAAAGCAAGCATCTATTGGAATCCTGTTTCTGAAGTTCACGTCTATCGGTTTGGATTTCCCCCGCCCCCTTTTGTCAATTCGTTTGCCTACAAACTGACTAGGATGATTAACTCTTTGGAATTATTTCTCTTTGTTTCTCTCCGAAAAAAACCAAGGGACTGGACATGAGATGTTGGACTTATGATTGACATAGCTATCTATCATTTACTCATCCATATTTATGATGGACAGATCACAGTACACACACGGTTAACCAGAACAAATACCACAGGTAAATTCTGAAGGGTTTCATATACCCTTTTAGCCTACTTCTGGAGGCAACAGTAAGTGTTCTAGAAAATAACATCCATTCTATTACATGGGAGTAACACACAAAACCATTTTCAAGATAAGTGCTACTTAAAATATTTTAAGAGCAACCCCCTGCACTGTAAAAATCACAGTCTTGAATTATAATCCAAGTTGTTAATATCTCAAAGGATGATACAAGAAAATGACCAGTTCTAGCAGAAGACCCAGAGATTAATTTTAATCAGTTTAATCAATTTATTCACAATAAAAGGAGCTTTATAAACTGTGGCTCATTTTGACCTGAGTGAAGGCTAAAAAAAAAGGAAAAGGTAATTTTCTATTAAATATCACCTCATCTGCAAAACATACCAGACTAATGAACTCTTTTCTCCCCATATTTGTTATATCCATTATCTTCTATAACACTTTTTGAAAATTCCAGCTAGCAGCATCTCCCAAAACCCACTTCTCACCTGCAACGAGCCAATTGTGCCTATACTAACCACATTCTCCCAAGGCCAGGACACACACACACAGACAACAAGTGGATAATATTACATCTAACTTTTGAGTTCACACATTACATTGAACCTAATTCCTGAAGGCCTCATACAGATAACTAAGGACTTGTAAAAGAAGGAAGTGTACCACATGAAGATACCATATTTACACTCCCCAAACCCTGTCTCAAACAAACTCTAAGAGTAAGTCTTATCACCTCACAAAAAAAATGATACTAAACAACAATCCGGAAAGAAACTTCCATTTCTTAATTCATTCTTCAACACTGTTGGTGAAAAATAAAACAGCACTAACAATGCCTTCTGGAGCCACTGTCACAGTCTTTTGCTGGAGTTCAGTATTATAGAATATGCTACATAGAGTTCAACATTATACCAGAAACACGTGCCAGCACTTCACGCACCCCTGCCCCCCAAGTAATGCAAGCAAGTAGTTGCCAGGGTGTTAACCACATTCTCCCCAGAGCAATTATGTTCAGCTACTGGGTGGTTTTTACTTTTTTCCATTGGTTTGTTTGTTGGTTTTTTTTTTTTAATTCAGCACCTACTCCAAAATCCTGAAATGAGTATAAAGTTACAAATGTATGCTTTGTATATCTCTGTCCGTTAGACCTGCTGCCAACAGTTAGACAAATATGAAAGATTAACCTTTTCCAGAGCTTTTTTCTACTTTTAAATCACCTTGGCTCTCCTTTCCTTAAAGCTGGATGAAGGAAAGCAGCACCTTTTCAGGTACAGCACAGTGCTCATCAAATTCATGCTATTTTGTTCAAGAGACCTTTATATTCAGATACAATTGCAGTTTCTACCTCCACCTATCTTTTTTAGTAAGTGCTGTTCACCTTGAAGATGTCCCTTGATCTCAGCTATACCTTCTGAACAAAATGAAAGAAGAGCTCACAAGTGTGGCACCCTGATCTACCTTAAAGATGAAGTTTCCAAGGTATGAAAGTTATGGTGTTTTAGTAAGATGTTTTATACCCATAAAACAAGGTTACTTCCCCACACCTCCGGCAATATTGGACAGTTTGTTTCCAGAAAAAGGAAAAGTTCTGTAAAGCCTAAAGACCAATTACAACAAGTTTTAGTCTGGATGACTGTTTTGCTATGTAACATAAAATATTCTACTGTTTCCTAAAATTGCCAGAAATGTCATTCTGTACCTTATCATCCTCTCTCACAAGGCATTCTCTATGTGAGAATGCAAAGGACTGCAAAACCTTTTCACAGCAGACTTAATTGTTTATATTAACCTAGCATACTGAACTACACAACAACTAAGGCTATACAGGCTCTGAACTCTGCTCTCAGATTTCAATATACCCAAGTACAGTTTATTTAAAACTCTACACTTAGACTTACATCTCTTCAAAGTGTGTTTTCATGTACAGACAACATATCAACCAGCAGACATTTGTTCAAGCTCTTGTTCATTAAAGCAAATTTATATCACAAGTATTTGAAAACATTTCTCCCCGTTACCTAGGCTGAGAGTTCTCCTCATACATCCGCTCTTTCCCTTCCTTGAAAAGGCTGATGGTCTGCTTCGTTTTCTTCATCAAGTTCTCCATGAACACGCGGAAATACTCGTTTTCTCCTAGGGTCTCCATCTTCCCCTCATAGCGTGATAGGATGGTTCGTAGATGCTGGTAGGTATCAGGTAGCAGATCTAGGATATAGGGTGGGCTGTTCTTCAATGCCAGTTTTGGGTTCTGACACAAACGCACCACCTACGGTTAATGCAGAAAACACCATTTTGAAAACCTAAAAATAGCAAGTAGTGATCAGTTACTTAAACACAATTCAGCGTTCCTTATAAACACACCACACTGAGATTCACCCTCAACAAACCGCATTTGTTGCTCAAGTCCAGATAGGGAGCCCAGCCACCGTAGAAGAATCGAGTTTATGGACTGAAGTGCATGTGGACTGACGAAACTCCCAACATACATATGATTATATTTCATGAGGCTGCGCTTCACCCCAAGTGCATTTTCAAAAACAAAATTCAAGAAAATTCAATATGGAGTTTGTAAATGGCAAGGATGTAACTTACCACATACGTGTCTAGTACTACCTGCCACGTTTCAGACTCTGAACATGCCCATAGGCAGAACTTTACCTGTCTAGCTGCCCTGATTTTGGCTGCAAAAGTGACTTTTCACACTGACCCATATATCCAGGACAAATAAGCCCACAGAGGAAGTTCCACTGCTACAGATGTCACTGATGCCAGTAAGCGTTCCCAGGCTGAAAGTGTTTTGAAGGCAGTGCTAGAAGAATCTCCTTTTCTTCATCCTTGAATACATACAAGGATTAAGAGGAACAATAGCTTTTATGGATAATGATGACCATCAAGAAAGAATGAATGCAAAGGAATTTTTCTGTGCAAGAATGAGAAATAAGCTGTAGCATAATAGATACGGTAAGAGAAATCTGGGTAAAAGTTTAGCTCGCAAGAACTTGTGTCCCCAGTTATGCATCAATTTTGCTTCTACCTTCCGTTAGATGAATCTTGTAGCAAAACTAGATTCTTCACAGTAATTTCTGTGGGTTTGAATTTTTTTTTTAATAACAAGACATCCACAGTGATACTAGTAATTAGATTAAAGTGTTATTAGATGACTTCAACCTGTCTTCCACTCAGCATACAACTAAACATCTCACTTTTCTTCCTTCCAAGCTGCATGTTCTCTATTTATTTTTTTAGCAGCGCGATCACATATTCTCAAAGTTAAGAACCTGAATCTGTCAACCCAAATTTTTGCCATCTACAGTGAATTTATTGGATCATCGATAAAATAATTTTAGGCACGCACTTTTGCATTATGTTGCTAAGGCACAAGTAACAAGTAGAATATTCCTGTTCAGAACTCACAAGCAATACAGCTGTTATACCTGTACACAAACAAATCGGGATGCAAGCTAAACTTAATATAGGTCTTTAATGTACAGGAACGTAGAGCTTACATGCCAAAAGCTCATGGTAATAAGTTTACGTGATAGGGGAGGATAAAGGAAGCCACTTCACCATCCACCATAGCCAAAATTTTCCATTATCTAGACTGAGAGAATGATAGGGAGAGATAATGGCAAAACGGCAATTTGAAAAATGAGTGGTGCACTTTCAGTTATAAAAAGGGTTGAAACTCTAGAGTTGCGAGGCCAGTATCAGATGAAGCTTACAAGCTAAGAACCAGCAGCTGGGATAGTCTTACTGCTGTCTTGCTGGCTAACAGCTTCTGTGATTTACATCAAAATGTACAAAACGTAGATACAGTTTCCTGAAGTTCTCCACTACAATGAATGTTATCTGACTGCTTAATACCAAGCACGTGAATGACACTGCCAGGCATAAGGGTATTACAGGTATCAAACAATGTAGCGCTGCAGAATGCAAAGCTTAAGGGAAGTGGATAGGAAAAGGTAAAAGAACACTAACATCCTTTTGCAGTACATCATTTCCACAAAATCTTGTGAAACCTTCAGGAGGAATTGACTAGTTCCCTACAACACGTTCTTAAATACCTACTTCCCTTGAACACTTAAATGCTGATGGTAAACAAAGTAATTTATACTGAAACAGTGCTTCAGCATTTAACTTTGCCATTCAGTGTTTATGCAAAAAGCAACCTTGTCAAGTTAAGTGACATCTCCAATTATATCTGACTTACAGTAGTGCCTCTAATAAGAGCTGACTGAGAAAGACTCAATTTCAGTGAAGAGAAAGGCATCCAGTGTATCAAAACTCAAACAGAAGAATCTGACTGCCATTAAAAGAATTACATGCCTAAAAAAGCCTCTGCAAGAATACATGGAGAAAACTATCAAAATTTTCCCTCGATTTTGAAGAGGCTGCCAAGGATTAGGTGGTCTAGCTAAGGAGACGGATGGTCAGACAACTGACTTATCCAATTGATTCTGATGCCTCAACTGTTGCTTCCTTGGAGCCTGTGAACATTGCACAGTGAACCATATCAATGAATTGAGTCAACACATTTGTCCCCTGAATAAAACTAGTTTCACTATGCAGCATGAATAGGATCTAAATATGCTCCTCAGACACAGCTGAATTGTGCTATGGATAGCAAAACCTTTTCTTCAACAGAAATTGTTTATTACACAGTGGGTTTAAAACCTTAATAAAAACACAGCTCAATAAAAAGTCAGCTCTTATGAGGAAGCCACATTAAGCAAGCATACCAGTCAGAGTATGCACTTCTCAGTCATCTGTAATAGAAAACAGTTTGGCTGTTACCCCTTGAAAATACCCAGCTATAGAAGAAGCAGACCCAATGTGTTTCAGTAATGTAACAAACCTCAATATCAACTAGAAAAATTTCCCCACAGCAGAAGCAAGAAGTTCTGCAAACGACTCATTCTCATAGCCTCTATAAAATGTTTCCCAAGAAGTGACTTGCAAAGATACCTCAAATAGTTGACAAAGGCCAAACTGCTGTGATTTTATTATCAAATGAGCTTTATTTACCAAGTAGACCTAAATTAGCTAAGATAAGCATTTAAACAGAGCTACATAACTAGGAACTGCTGCCTCTTGAGCAAACTTGGTCATTTTATAACACAGCAGCAACAAAACCAGTTGCATTTTGCTTGTTTCTCTACGTGTGCACTTGCAGCATTGTGACAACATCAAAAGGAATGCTCCCAGCCCTGGGAACAGCCGCCCCTCAGCAAGCTACCCTGCCTTCCACAGGGACCAGCAATGTGGAAGGAAATTGAGCAAAAAGCAGCAAATATTTTTGATTAGGTGTGATGGCAACAAACACAAGCAATCCATGTTTTTAAACTACCATCCAAACTCATCCAAGTTTGCCTGGCTTATGCTTTGTTCTCTCAGGAATAAGCCTTTTATGGAGACATTTCTGGGTTTTTAGAAATACCAATAAAGCATTTCAAGCTTAGCACGAAGATTCTAAGAGGTTGGCCTGTAAAAAACCCTAAAATTGACTTCACCGATTTTCATTTTCCAAACTCAAGAGAAGAAGATAATCAAAAAACAGTTTCCCCCCCTCAGTTTTGAAGAAAGAATCTGTTATCTACTCATTCAAGGAAAAAATCTCATATAGATTTTCTAGGCCTGAAACTGAGTCTTTCCACTCAAGATTCTGCAGCTTGCCTTGACTGATCTCTGGATTTAAATATTTCTCTTCAGCACTGCTTCATTAGACTTGCATAAATAAAGGAACTGGGTAACTAGCGTAGGAAAGCAGTGACACTATATACAGAGCACTGTCACAGGCACAACGTATAGATAACCTGAGAAACACAGCAAGAACCATGAGCTTTTTTAAATACTGCAGTCAGGTTATGTGGTTGGATTAGGTACATGTTAGTAGAAGCAAGGAAGAAGCATTCAGGAAAAATGAGATACCTAAGCAAATGCACTCATTTAACAATACACAGTATTTGTTAGGAAGTGCAGAGAGTGCTGCTTAACAGAGGAGACAAAGCTATACAAATCGCGGCCCCTCAAGGCAGGTTCACCAGCTGCCACACTAGCAGGCTGTTTCCTCCAACACCCCCTGAATCCCCCTCTCTCAGCTTCCTGGCTACCCGTCCCATCGTCTTGGTTCGTTACTTTCCCCATTTTGCTCATCCCCAGCCCCACCCACGAAAAAGCTAGCGCCAGCCTGTTTGCTGCAGCCATTGATACGGCACCCCGTTTCTTGTTCTGGCAGAAAGTCCCTGGCGCAGACACCACCTACCTGCTTGCCTCACACAGGGGACAGTGTCACAGAGTTCCAGGCCTGACAAGCCCCCAGGTGCTACTGTGCCAGGTAACGCTTTTTCCCCTTCCACCTCAGACCCCTTCAGCACAGTTCTGAAAAGCCATAGTTCCTTCCTTCCTTTAAGAGCTGAATAGCTAACTGCTTTATTGAAATCACATCTCATTTCATCTTAAGCCAACAGCAAAAGAAAACCTACTCAAACTTCTCTTATCTCCTGCTGAATTTGTATTTGGCCTCTCTTCTACTTACAATAAAGCTGACCTACAGTGGCATTTCTCTCTATCAGTTTTAGAAACTGAGTGGCATCAGTACACTTTTTAAAGAAGCTTTATCTCAAAGCTCATCTTCCTCCTCCATGTCTTACCACATGTACTCTACCGTTCTTCTGCTACATCCCTTATACCTCATCCCGAGCCATTTGTGACTGCACCACCCATTCTTCAAATACCATCCACAGCAATGAACTCGTGGTCTGCATTATCTGCTGCCCAGATAACAGCAGTTCCTCCCACTTGAACCTAGTAAAGCATATAGATTAGTTCAAGACACTGCAAGGAAATTACTATGTTGCTTACTGTGCTATTCGTCACTGCAAGCTTGCAGGCTCGCAAGACATCTGACAACAAGTTCAGCTTCCAAAGACACATTTAACCTCTATTCCGTAGATAAACGCACAAGCGTCACCTAATTCAGCTGAAGGTGAACATCCTGTTGCACAGTGATGAAAAGGGCTATTTCATGTCCACACTATATGTGACCACAGACAACTGTAGAAGGAACGGCTAGTACTAACAAAAATTAGAACTTCAAGCGAAAGAATCTGAAAGACAGGAATACATCAGGCAGCTTATGGAGAACATTATGAGGAAAATATTTGGACAAGAATCAACTTGCATAGGAAATTCATCAGTCACATCCGAAAACAGAGATGCACGAATGCTTTGACAACACCAGCTAATTATGCAGACTAACAAAT